TTGTGATACTAATACGTAGCAGAGGATCAATTATAAAAGTTCTTGTGTTGGATATGGCCTGCGGAACAAACTTTTCCCTCCCCTGTTATAATCCTTAAAGCAATGTGACGGAAAAGATCATGTCTTTTCATGCGCATAAGTTAGTTTAATGATTGTCTTCCGTTATAGCTGAAAGAGACTATACTGTTAACTAGAAGCTCATAATCCCGCAGACAGACAACGAATTCCTACTATTCTGAGGGTCCGATCACATACTGTCTGTTCACCGAACCCAACTTGGGTTCCTATCCTCAGCCATTCGAATCCAGTCCACGCTCCCACACCATATTTATTTAAGATCAATTTTAATATTGTCAGCATACCCACGCCTAGATTTCTTGAGTGATCTCCTTTCTTCAAATTTTCCATTTCCGATTAACCATGGATGAATTTCTCGTCCCTCCTATGCATTCTATGTGCCCTGTCCATCTATCCATTCCTGTTCAGATCATCGTAATTCCTCAAGATGAAGAGTAATAAATTTTAAACCCTTTACAGCCCAATGGTTACTGTATGTACCGCCTCCTTTTTCATATTAAAACTCCGCGTTCTGCCCACAGAGTGTATCTGTGTGTTCCGTATGGTTCTCACAATAAACAGCGACTGTTTACCTAAACAGCATTAACCGGTTGGGCTTTGTAGCGGAGACGTAATATGTTTCCTGTGAGGTACGAACTGAAACCTTATATAATTATTTACAAGAAATTCAGTCTTTAACCTCTATGTGGAGGCGCGTTCTGATACCTTCACCGTAGCCCTGCGAGTCGTACGAGAAAATGAAAAGGGAACTCAATGCCTGGAGATATAACTGGCCACCCTGTTCCTGCGGGATATATATATGGGGGGGTGGCCTTCTAGGTTGGGGGAGACTCGAATCTGAGACAATAAAATATGGTCATGAGTCTCGCGGAACTGGGACCCGAGAATGACTGCGCTGGCGAAGGCCAGAAATTGTAAACGACACTTTCGTCCTCTCGTCAGAGAAGGCGCCCCACGCCAAGAAACCTTAACTATGTGACAGTAACAAGAATCTGGTCTTGGGCACCAGATGTGGCTTGAGACCAAGACATACTTACCTACTTGACCGTCGGTCGTATCACAACTTTGACTTTGACATTGACTTTGTCAGTCTTTAAAGGATTAATTTTTTTTATTATACAGAGTTCTACTTTATTTACGCCGTGTAGTCCGCTGAATTTAAATCGATTTGTCGGAGGAGCATATCGTCTCTATCTTCAGGGTGGAAGAATAAGCCAAGAAAGTAACCAGCATGAAGCATGTAGCAAGCAGAGAACCTGCTTCATGCTGGTTTCTTGTTCGACTTATTATTAGACCCTGAAGATGGAAGCAAGGCATTCCTCCGAAATGTAGATTGACTATCAACAGATTACAGGGCTATATGTGGCACCTCGGATCTTACAAGGCGGAGGACGCCTCTGCGAGTCAATGCTTAAACAAAACAATTTCGTAACGTACGCTAGCGGACCGTGAAATATCAAAAGCTGCGACGTGGTACATCCAGTTTACATATTTGACATCCGAGCGGGACAGTGTTATTGGCAGTTACGTTTCTGCCGCGCCAATATATGCATGTAATTTTTTTTTATATATTTTGCTTTTTCCCTACAAGGCAGTGATATGGTCACTTGTCGTTTGCAGAGGGAATTGATTTTGGGTGGGGGGAGGAGGGAGGTATATTACGATGCTGTCAGGATCTAAATTATGTAGCATCGAATGACAGAATGGTAGATGAATTGGAAAGGATGTGAAAACGATTGTGGTCTTATCGAGGTGATATTCAAATATTTGCCTGAAGGGACTAAAGAGAATGACAGAAGCCCTGCAAGAAGACAGATAACATATACCGAGACTGAGATTCGAATCCAGCACTTCCCGACCACAAGTCTTCAGCGTTAATGCTAAACTATTCTGTTCTGTGATGAACAAGTTATCATTCGAGGCCGTATGATTTGAGCTATTGAATACATTTTTCTAAGTACCACTCTAAGACTTAACCACCACACCAACGTGTTCGACTAATTTTCTCTTATTTATTCCAAGAATACCAATAATAATGTCACGTGATAGAGGGACTACAGACGGGGTTTGGATTGGTAATTGAATATATTGTACGCTTTTACAACACGTTACTACACTTCACAAATCATTTTTACACACAGACTAGTGTTCTCAGTCTGTTACACTCTCCACTAGTCATTGCCTGGTAATGGCTCCCATAGGCGGACGTTTCCCTTACTTCCGGTTTCCAAATTATCCCCGTGCCTCAGCTACCAGCATCTGAAAGCAACGGCTCACGAAGACTGAACTGCAGCAGTTCTTTAACTGATTGACCACCAACTCACTTCGCCCCACTGAACTCAAGTGCACTGCACTTCCTAAATGAACTGAACTCTGTCGGTCGAGTCACATAGCCTCGGAGCCTATCCACAGAGAACTCAGACTGCNTTCAATGTCTATGTAGGTTATTGAAGATTCGTGCCTTCTGGGATATGACACCGTTTAATCTGGTACTAAGTTACAGGCGTCTCGGACAAGTTTGCTGCCTCAGTCTTCAGGGCTGAAATTTTTGTAATGTTAGGCCAGATTACTATATGGCGTCAACATGTTGACTTAATCTTTCTACCTTTCTACCAGAATATACGGCGACATGACCAAAAAGACAGAAATATTTATTTCTATCTCTGTGAGAAAAAATAAATCTCACAAAGCAATTTTCTATGGGGAAGCTACTCCTGATCACTTTCTGCAGGACTTCACGGCGTCACACCGGACAAAATTTGAGCTTAATATTGAGCGCGGTGAGAATGTCGGATCCCACATTCTTCAGTTATTATTTCTACAGAGACTTATTTTTATGTTTTTCTCGCTCGTAAATAAAGTCAACCGACGTTTCGGAGGAACATTCGTGGTCGACACTGAATCAACCAGGAAACCGGTAAGAACCAGGTAGTACCCTGAAGAGGGGTGCAACATATGCCTCCAAAACTTCGGTATCATTCTACCAAACTAGACGGAGCCCCATTCCAGAAGACCGTGACCTTGAATGCAATACAGGGACCCCAACTATCGCCTTTTTTTTTCATTTCTTAACAAAAATATAGGATTTGAGGTTCTCACACCGACGGTTAGGAAAAGTTCTATCTCCTGGGATATACCGCCGTGTGGCCCGTTAAAGCAGACAGTAAGCAAAGCTTTGCTTGCTGTCTGCTTCACGCAGGTTTCCTGTTTGCCTTGCTCTTCAACCCTGAATATCGAGGTGACATGTTCCTTCGAAACATCCGTTGTCTTTCATAACGATCTAGACAGGAGTAACATCCCAGAAGACAGAACTCTTTAAACTTGTTTCGTTGAATTTTGAAGATCTCAGTCTGGTGAGTATGAAAATTATTGTTTCCTGGGATGTGAAGTCGTATAGTCCTGTATGAGTCCACCGCGGTTTCAGTGAAACATACTGCCTCCATCTTCAGGACCGAAGGGTAAGCTAAGCGAGCAGATAGAGACGTGATAGTGAAACCTGATTGAGATACTGGTCTGCTCCTTTCTGGTTCCTTGCTAAGTTTGACTCCATGTATTGTGGTACTATAAGAGGTAAAGTCATTGCTGTAATAGGCCGTGAAGGAACATAAACTTATGAGACGTCGAGGTTCCCACATTATCTAGCCAATTGGCTCACAGATGGCGCTAAGGTTGTCAGCAATACGTGCCAGCCGCCTTTTACCCCAAGGAATATTCCTGGTACTCATTTCTTTTAGAGGCTGAGTCGACCTCAGGGCCGAAGTGCTGCTGGAAGGATTAGGTCAATTGAAAAAATCCAATGACCTCATCGGGAACTGAACCCGTCATCTTCCGGATTGTAGAATAGTGCCTCAACCGACTACGCTATCGTGTGCCACCATTCTGGTATAAGTTTAGCGAAGTTTCGGAGAGGAACTTGCTACTTCCATCTCAGGACCAAATAATACAATAAACGAACAAATATTAAAAAGCAAAAAATAACTTTTAACTAAGGCAGTACGTTGTTCCGAAACGTCGGCAAACTGGTATCGGACTCTACACCGTAAAATCACAGAAGACAGTAATTTTAAATATTTATTTTCTTTTTAATTAACTTATTTAATTGCATTTAATTAAAGCTAAACTTAAGCATTAGTGAATAATTTCAGGGCATAACTTTTACTGCAATTGTAATTATGAACTCATTTTTAGTGTGGGGAAACCTTATTAAATATTCCGATTTCATTTTAGAACTGATTACAAGGGGAACGTCATAAGCCTGGACTCTGCTTTGTACCGCTGTGTGAGTGTGTGGCCAGTCGTTTCTCGGTTATTAATACTCTGTCAGTAACACAGATTGTACAGCTTCGAATGCTAGTACAAATGATGAACTGGAAAGGATCTGAAAGGAAGCGGCGATAGCTTACTGGTGATAATATTCCAGTATTTACTTTGAGTCATGGGGGGAAAACATAAAAAACTGTTTAAATAACCAATGTGCTGAGATTTGAACTTCGCATGTACCGAATGCGAAGCTAACATTTTAACGCTGCAATAGCCTGCTTGGTAATAGAGATTTTAAGTAGCTCTTCAAGAAAAAAATTAATGAAGATTACAGCTGGCAATAGACAGACTATTGTTATACACGCTAGAATTAATATGATCTATACCCAGCCTGTATAGAGATCTATCGGCGCACTGTGTTACCGTAATCTTAGTCAGCATAATGAATATTATTGTGCGTTACAAAGTGAGAAAGTGAAGCGTCGCTGTGAAGAGTACAGCCTTCTGAGAGGTAGCACTGTAGCCCGGTATAAATGTGTAGTTTCGAAAGAACATATAGCTTCCATTTTCAGTTTCGAGAAATAAGACAAGGAAGAAACTAGCAAGACTCACGTAACAAGCAGAATAAAGGGAGAAACTAGCAAGACTCACGTAACAAGCAGAATAAAGGAAGAAACTAGCAAGGCTCACGTAACAAGCAGAATAAAGGAAGAAACTAGCAAGACTCACGTAACAAGCAGAATAAAGGAAGAAACTAGCAAGACTCACGTAACAAGCAGAATAAAGGAAGAAACTAGCAAGACTCACGTAACAAGCAGAATAAAGGAAGAAACTAGCAAGACTCACGTAACAAGCAGAATAAAGGAAGAAACTAGCAAGACTCACGTAACAAGCAGAATAAAGGAAGAAACTAGCAAGACTCACGTAACAAGCAGAATAAAGGAAGAAACTAGCAAGACTCACGTAACAAGCAGAATAAAGGAAGAAACTAGCAAGACTCACGTAACAAGCAGAATAAAGGAAGAAACTAGCAAGACTCACGTAACAAGCAGAATAAAGGAAGAAACTAGCAAGACTCACGTAACAAGCAGAATAAAGGAAGAAACTAGCAAGACTCACGTAACAAGCAGAATAAAGGAAGAAACTAGCAAGACTCACGTAACAAGCAGAATAAAGGAAGAAACTAGCAAGACTCACGTAACAAGCAGAATAAAGGAAGAAACTAGCAAGACTCACGTAACAAGCAGAATAAAGGAAGAAACTAGCAAGACTCACGTAACAAGCAGAATAAAGGAAGAAACTAGCAAGACTCACGTAACAAGCAGAATAAAGGAAGAAACTAGCAAGACTCACGTAACAAGCAGAATAAAGGAAGAAACTAGCAAGACTCACGTAACAAGCAGAATAAAGGAAGAAACTAGCAAGACTCACGTAACAAGCAGAATAAAGGAAGAAACTAGCAAGGCTCACGTAACAAGCAGAATAAAGGAAGAAACTAGCAAGGCTCACGTAACAAGCAGAATAAAACCGTCTCCGAAACTTACATGACCCTCTAACGGGTTACACAGCATCACATCCCAGAATGTAGCGCTGTTCAGAGTCACCGATGTGATATGTTTCAGTGGCTCGCAGTATTTATGGAGCATGTACTTGGCACCTGCAAGGCTGTTACTGCATGTAGCTTCAGCGACCCGCAGCTGCCTTAAGGATCTGTTTCCTGGGGCATCAGATCTACCTCATGAAATATTAATTTCTGTTACTTTTATAACAGATTATTGAATCCGCTTCTCCAGTGCCCTGTCTCGTCTCCAGCCAAACACACCATGCTACGCGTCCGTTGGGATCCTGTAACATCGTCCCATATTTCGCGGATATTGGTGAGGACCCAGTGACATATCGAAACGTCTGCAATGCTTTCTCCTGAATATCAGCTGTTCCACGACTTTAGCAAGTATCATTTACGTTTATTATTATTCGGACAGCATGGAGCCGGGGTTACTCAGTCGGTACAGCGACGGGATACAGGCTGATAGTACGGGGTTTGATTCTCGGCAGGAGCAAGAGTCCATTCTGTACTCCACAGTATCCAGATCGACTCTGGGGCCCATTCACTTTCGTATCCAATTGGTATCGAGGCTCTTCAACCAGGAGTAAAGTGGCCGGGGCGTGAAGGTGACGTCTCACCTCCATCTAGTACAGAGTTCAAGAGTGGTGGAGCTACAACTCCACTCCCCCCTTATGTCTTCATGATTTAATGCATAATTGATTAACAACAGAGACAATTTTACCTTTGTTTACTAGTCAGCCTAATGATTTGAAACAAACAAATTTACAGATTTCTACCCGGAAGGTTCTTAATTTGAATATTCGCTGGGACATAGGCCATACTCATTGAGGTTTCTCCTGTGTTTTCTCAGCTCTTGCTGGCAAATTCCGAGATAGTGCCTCTACCAGGTGATGACCGCTTCCTTCGAAGTCCTGTTCGATTCATTATTCAGTCATCATCCTACCATCCTAGGCTGCATTTCGTAACACAAGATGGGAAAGCTAAATTTGAACCGACTGAGCCGACGTAAGAGTAACACTATAGATTGACATTTGGGAAGTCTTGGGTTCGAATACCGGTAGACACACCTGATAAAATCAATGCCTACATAGTAGTTAGTTAGTTATTGGAGAAGGTGGGTTTCCCCATGCACTTACAC